AAAAAAAGCGCCTCATTCCTTCTTCCACCGCCATACTGTATTTTATAGTAACTCTCATTTTTATTCCTCCCTTTTACTCCCGCTCGGTGAGTACCTTTCCGCTGACATTCTTGTCCTCCTTTTTTTGTCCTGTTTTTTTTTTTCTTCTTTTTTGTTTTTTCTTTTTTTTTGCCTCTTCTTCTTCTTCTTTTTTTCTTTTTTCTTCTTCTTTGATTATTGTTTAAATGGATTTGATCTTTTGCTGATGACAAGTTTTTTTCTTAGCATGCGATGGTTACTAAACTGTGAGCAAAAGATGCTGCTGGGGCCGGGAGTCATTGGGAATGAAAAAGGATAATATTAAAAATAAAGACTTGCCAGTCCAGCAACAACTGATATACATTTAGTAGCTATATATCTATATATGCAACTGGTTTTGTTGTGGCACAGAAAAGTGGTGTGAAATATGATGGTTATTTTTTAAAGATAAGAGAAAAGGCATGTTTCTAACTCTTTTTGCAGAGGATTTTCTCTGGTGTTATTTTATTTTTATTTTTGGGTGTTTTTTGGGGCTTTTTTTCCGTATAGAAATGGGAATTACAAATGCATTTTACAGCAGTGTTTACAAAGAGTTTGTTATCTTGCAATAGTGGTGCAAGCCACAGAGCAAGATGTTAATTTTATTATTTTTGTTATTGTTTCTTTTTTTGATACTCAGTGCAATTAGCAAGGTTTTTTTTCTTCTTTTTCGGTTTTTGATGCTTGTTTATAATGTGAAACTTTTCTTGCAGCATGTTACAGTAATTATTTTTAAATACTTTTTTCCTCCTTAAAGATAACAGAACAAAACAGAAAGCTGAAGCAATGACCATACTTTTGCACATTTTGCACTTTGACTTTTTTATTCTTTTACCAGCATTATTTTATGATGGTTATTATTATCATAATGATGATGATGATGATAGATATACATATATACAAATAAATACATTTTCAAATGATGGCAGTGGAAGGTTTTCCTGGAGAATGAAGTGCGGTTCGGTTTCCTTGTCAACGGAAGATGAAGTGAACAACTGAACATCTCCCCGGTGCAGGTACTTCATCTCCTTGTAGGCGTTTCCACGCTGTGTACATTACATTGTGAGATTTTTTTTTTTTTTGGTAAAGAAATCTTTTTCCACATGTAGCTAAAGGTTTCTCTGCACTACACATGAGAACTGAACTAAATACCCCTGCCTCTTGATTGCTTAGATGTGTGCAAAATGTTACAGTAATTGAGCCTAGGTCGGTTAAGCTGGAGAGGTGTTTTATGTGCTGTGCTGGATAGAGGGGAGGACATCGTGCATGTGAGGGGGAAATCCAGACACCCCCCTTCCCCTGACTTCCCATCAAAAAACAACCCCAAGCCCCAGGCTGAAAGTGGATGAAACCTTGAGATCCTTGTTATGAGTAGGAACAAATACAGGACTTTAGACAAAAACAAAAACCCTGGCACTGTATTGTGGTGACTTTGTGTGTCTGTGTGTGTCTGCTTAAAAATTATCCATTAGAAAATAGCTGTGAGAGAAACAGCAAAGGAGGCTCCCTCGGATAGCTGGCTCATTGCCAAAAGAGACATATTCCATAGCCTTAAGGGTAGCAAAACCCTTATATCCAACTTCTGCTCCTCATATTAAGAAGGCGTAAACAGGGCAGCAGGTTGCCTCGTATGGATTTAGCTCATTGGGATGAAGATTAATCAGAACCAGATATTTGCTTGAAGGTGTTTCGTTTTGTTTTGATGATTATTAATGCTGCTGCCTGACAGGGAATGGGAAACTGTTACTTTCCGTGACGGTCACTGAGAGTTCAGGATTGGAGGAGAAACTGTTACTTTTCATTGATAGCACTTAAATGCTTAACGGAGGCTGTCCCTGATGTAGAGACAGGATATTGGTTCTTTAAAGTGTGATTTGGAACTATTTTTCCAGATGACAGGTTTGTTTGTTTTCCAGAAAGGGATATAGTGCAAAATGATGCTAAAGTTGATGTGCTGAATATTTAGATCTGCAGTATTCTCTATAGTTTACTTTATTGTGATGGGATTGCTTAATGTATTTTGTATAAACAGCCTTCAGGGATTTATAACTGATCATAAAGATATGCTGTGTATTCGGATGTGGAGAATAAAGTATGTTCCAGGGAATACTTTTCCTTACTTACTGTGACATAAGCAAAAATATGTGGCCAATTTCTAATTCACAGAACTACAAATGCATTTGGAAGTTTGAGGCTTCTAACACTTATTTACCATCTTGTAACTTAACAGCTTCCTTTAATGTAGAAAGTATGGTTAAGAAGTCTTCGGCATTCTCTCATGCAGTTGGTCACGCTGAAAACAAATTCATTCATTTGCCTGTGTAGAAACACAGCTATGATGTATTTATAGTGACTTTTTCCAGCAAAAATGTAATAAAAATATTTAGCACATATATCTTGCTTTCATGCATGGCTTCTGTTCTGACATGATAGAATACTTTTGACAGTATATTGGGGTCAATAATCCATGTGTCTAAAAACACTGTCTAGATATTTGCATGATACCTTACAATGACTTCTTTGAAGAAGTTACAGTCTGTTGGGTCAATAATCCACATTTTAAGAATACTCAACCTGCCCTTTTTTTCACAATTTAATTTGAAAGCAAGCCATTAAAATACAACAAAGATTGGGACTTTTTCCTTCACCAATCTTTCCATTTCCCTCCCCCCCCTCATTTTTTAATTACAATTTTTCTTTAAATTATGTGAAACTGTCAGTAAACACAACATTTTTTATATTGCTAAAGCACTGAAATAAAATAACTAGGCCAGCAGTTTCCAGAATGCCAAATAGATGTTCTTTTGGTCCCCCCCCCCTTTTTTTTTAATATTGCAGGTGTATTCTATGAGTAATTTTGTACAAATAGTTGCTGACTGAAGAGCTAATTCTGCTCACCTAATCTTGCCATGAAATCTGAGATAGGAAGTTTTAGAAATGCGCTGTTTTCTGTGTACAGATTTCATATACAAAGCACCTGTTGTCTGAGTAGCACACAGTAATCTAATATACATACATACATTTCGTGTGCAGAAATTTGGGATTGTATGATTTTGTATATATGAAACAGCCTTGGGACTTTAAAATAGGGATAAAGGAGCTAATTTTGTAAGAGGGTACTTCTACGTCCGGCAGTATGTGGCACAGTAGGATCTGGGTTGGTGTATCAGTTTCAGCTTGGTGTTTCCATAGTTATGCTATGACTAATGCTGTTGAAAGCATATTTGGAAAGCCATAGATAGTGTAAAAGGTAATTGTCCTTTTTGTGACTTTCAGGATGAATAAAAAGAATAAAAATTTTGTCTATTGAATTGCAATGATTTTTTTAACAAGGATATAATTTCATTTCTTATATTTTGTGTGAAAAGGACTTGTGCTGCCATAACTTTTGAATGTGATGAGCGTCCAGACTTAAATGGCCTCTTCTTTTAGATTTTGTACATCTATCTTGATTTTAAGGAGAGCTTAGGAATTTAAGTTGCTTTCATAAAAATTTGGAAACTGAAAGCTTTGGAAAGCAATTCTTCTTTTCTTCCCCCCTAATTATTGCTAGCAGTATTTCCTTGCAAATAAAAATATGACAGGTGAACAGAAGTTATTGGCGGTATGATGCCGAGAACACTAACTCACAAATACATGCTTTCAGCCATCTTAGTAGCCTGAATGGACAATGGAAGAAAATCTCTGATTTTTCTAGATAGGAGATGGGACTGGAGGGCCTTTGGAGCCATCAGCTCCATTCTGCTGTGATGCTGAGCAGGTCTTCTACTTTTCTTCAGGTTCAACAAGTCCCGGTTTAAAATTGCCTACGGCACTAGTGTCACTGTACTTATTAGAAAGCTGTGCTGAGCCTTGCTGTTTCGATAGTTGGAAATCTTGTTCCTGTTGAAAATTTTTTCTCAGTCAGTTTATACTCCTTTGTTTTTGTGGCATTATTGTCCTTAAACAGAAAGGTTCCCTATTGACTCCTCAGCTTCCTCCTCCTCCTCTTCATGGTATATTTTCAAAGAGCAGTCACATCCCCTTTTAACTTTGGTTTGCTAGGCTTAGTGGAAGAGAGGTTCTCTTGCAGTGTTGGTGCACGTGGCATGATGTAGTGCCACACAGAGATTTTGGAGCTAGCTCTAAATGAGGCAGTGCTATGGCAGAGATAGAATAGCTGTATTTGCATTGTGTGCTGCCCAGGCTGGTCCGAACTCCTTCGCAGCTGCAAGCATGGCTGTCCTGTTCCCAGCCCTCAAATAAGCCTAGATACTTCTACATAGAATTGCGCTATGGACATGACTTCTGGCAAAACAGGCTTTCCTTGGTGCTGAGCGATTCCTCTCTCTGTCTTGCCAGTTTGAATTTCTCTCTCTGGAACAAAACAACAAAGAACTGCTAGGAATCTCCCCTGCACCACCCCAGTTTTTAGACTCCAGGAATCTTCTACTTAACTGCTTTAGTGGTTTTCATTACCGCCTGTCAGGGCACCTCAATGGGCTTGAGCCAACATTGTATTAGTACACATAAACCAAGGACTGTCTGCTATCAGGCATAAATGTGAAAGTTTGCTACAATGCTTTTTAAAATATTTTTTCCTAATTACAGATTCTTCTCAGGCTGCTTATTTTTTAGCTCCCTACTTTACTAAAGCATTATTCTAAAAGCAGACTATTTCTGTTTTAGAGCATAATTTTTGGTATTTTATTCATGCCCCCTGTTATAGGTTTCCGACAATAAAGAGCTTAATACTGTTTAAACTGCAGGATTGCGAGCTCTGATAGGTCTGCCCGCAGATGAATGTTTTTAACTTTCTTGATCTTCTTAGATGATGCAATGCTCTGTCAGAATCTGGAGCTGAATCCTCTGTGTTTTAAGTACTTGCAGAATTTCTGAGCAGGAGACTAGAGACGACTATTTCCTGATGAAGTTATGTAATCTGTGGCACTGTCAATGTAGTCATATAGAGAAATAGATTTTAAATCAGTTTATACCTTCCTTAAGCCCAGATACTAACTGGCAGAAGAAAACAAAAATGCTATTTTCAAATGGTATGAACATTACAATATAACATCTTCACTTCTCCTAAGGTACTAATATTATTTTATGATCTTTGAACAATTCCTAGAATAAAATGGTTTGAAGATTTTCGTTTCAGATATATACACTTTAGGATAATTTGTATCTTTTCTCTTTTTCTCATCTTTACTCTTCCCTATTTCAAAATGACACTCTAATCTCTGTAACATACTTAATCTTTCTGAAGCACTTAGACTGTGGCTTTGGATCTGTTTTCTGGGAATCTTTATCTTTACACAATGAAGTGTGATTTTTCTGTCTCAATGAATCATCTGCCAGCAATTGAAACAAATAGTCAAATAAACTGTAAGTTATTAAGTAAATCTCAAGTTGCTTGGCATGAATACAATTAACTTGTTTTTATCATGATGATGTTCTGAGATAGATAAATAGAATGAAAGATAGGTGTTATTTTGCAGATGTTTTTAGTGTGATTGAGAATTGCAAAAATCTTACATTAATCAGTTATCCCTCAGTGCTTAGTTAATCAACGTTTTTATTGATTATAGAGTAAATTTATGCTCACCAATATTATCTACTGCCACTTGAAAAGGCTACAGAGTTAAAGTCCCTCCCCAATACTCCTCTATCTGTCTTCTAAGTGGTCATCTGTGTGATATCCTGGCCTTTGTTGATCTCAGGATCACACAAGAATCATTCTGCTGTTTCATTTCAGTTTCATAAACAGAGATTCTTGCTACGACGTAGTTATTTCATGGTTGCTGTAGTATGCATAATAATTTCTGTGCTGACTTGGCTGGTAATTTTGCCTGTGAGAGGTTTAAAGAAGCAGAGGTGGATGTTGTAAGAATGAATGTTGACAGATAGGAAGTATGAGCATGGTGGCACATAAATGGCACTCCCCAGGCTTTTTTTTTTTTTTTTTTTAAATCTGCATTGCACACTTGTGATTCTTTCTCCCAAAATACACAAAGCCCTGGTTAAACATGTTTTA